CCTGCATGTCGGCACAGCCAAAAGCTTGCATTCAAGTGACTGGGAAGTACATGGGAGGCGATTCGGGGCCGCCTCCAAAAATAAGCCCCTTGTTCCGCTCCAGGATAGCGTGGCTAACTACCTGGAGGTCTATCCTAGCCCACACGACAGAGCCTGGCAAGCTACTCGTGTGCCTTCAATATGCCGAAAACAGCAATATGGATGGGCCTCATTCCCCTGAACCTGAGGGAGCCCCCAATACGGCAGCGTTGGGTAGGACCGCTCGGGAGAGGCTGCTAGAATCTCAGGGCCCGGATAGGCTGCCTAAACGAAGAAGGACTAAGATGGCGATCTGTACTTTCAACGCAAGAACGCTTGCATCCGAAACACTTTGATGCTGGAGAAGATCTGTTCTTTGGCCATAAACATCGTACGAAAGCTTTCAACCCGAATCGGACGTTTGAGATTGAGAAGATGTGGTTCAACTCCTGCTTTGACAATCTTCGTCGCCTACGCACCAACATCCAGCTACGACGAAGAAGAACACGAAGCATTCTATATGGAATTGGAGAAGTTCTACAGGGAAGATCATACCTTCTTCAAGGTCATCGTCGGCGACTTCAACGCCTAAGATTGGCCCGAGAAGAACGGCTGAAGAACTTCACATCGGTACTCACGGAATGGAATGGAATGAGCAGGGCGAAGACTGTCGGAGTTTATCATGTCGACCAATACCTAAATGGAAACTTACAGCTACAAAAACACTCACCTCAACTCGGGAGTCATCAGATCCATAACGTGATAGACCACTTCAACCACAATCGAAGGTTTTGCCTGACCGACGTCGCTGTTGTTCCAAAGTTCTACACGGGATCGGACCATCGTCTCCTCCGCGCAAGATTCCACTTCTCGATGCGTGTTGAGAGAGCAGCAAAGTTCAGGAAGCGAAGCCCCAGGTCTCAACTGGGACCACTTCACTCCCTCGTTATCGAAAACATCGACGAGGAATACATACTATTGGCTCGTTGAACATCTTCACGATAGTGGCAGGAAGGCAGAGAGTTTGAAAGTCACCAAGGGACGTCTGTCTCCGGAAACTCTCGAACTGATACGCCAGCGTGGAGCCGCACGAGCTGCAGGCAATCACCAACTCACGTCCGAGCTTGCGAAGCTATGCAGAGAGGCGATAAAGGAAGATCTCAAGGAGCGAAGAGCAGCAGTACTAGCTGAGGCTGAGAGGAACATCCGCAACGTGCATCCCAAAGGATGATGAAGAAAGTCTACCACAGCTCGGGGTCGGATCTCTTCGATAACCATGTCCATCTTCTACTTATGGCCGATGTCATAGTTTGCGAATCGAGCGATTCGCTAGCGAATCGCTGGATCCGAGCGTTGCGCCAGCGAATCGAACGTTGCACCAGCGAATCGAACTTTGCGCCAGCGAGTCGAACGATGTACCAGCGAGTCGAACTAGGTACCAGCGACTCAATAGTGGCGGGACCCAACGTTTAAAGGAAGCCCGCCACTTTCAAACAGTGTCCACTGCAAAGTCCCGCCACTTTCAAACAGCGTCCACTGTCACGTGACGTGGCGGCTTCCTTTAAACGTTGGGTCCCGCCACTATTGAGTCGCTGGTACCTAGTTCGACTCGCTGGTACATCGTTCGACTCGCTGGCGCAAAGTTCGATTCGCTGGTGCAACGTTCGATTCGCTGGCGCAACGCTCGGATCCAGCGATTCGCAAACTATGAAAAGGCCTATCAGCTGCATCAGGATGGATACGTCGTTTCCTCGGTTTTCTCTCTGAATTCTATAGGAGTGAAGGTCGACGGCCGGCAACTACAATACCTTCGGTTTGCTGATGATATCGTTCCAATAATGTCGTACACTAAGCAAGCAGAGCGAGTGCTGGCTGATTTCGATTGCGCCTGTGGTAAGGTCGGTCTACAGCTGAACCTAACGAAGACGATGCTTATGAGAAACGGATTGGTTTCTGATGCCCAATTCACGCTCAACGGAACGAACATCACCGAATGCTCCAGCTACGTATACCTAGGTCGGAAATCAGCATGATGAACCATCTAGCTGAAGCCAAAGCTGAGCAAGGAGGAAGCGAGCGGCATGGGGAGCTACCGGTTCCGTGCTCACCTTCTTCGATTCCTGCAGTCCTTCCTGCCCTTGACCTACACCTCAGAGATAAGAACGCTGCGGAGGCAGGACGAGCAGCCAGTCAGCGTTATCCAACGGACGATGTCTAGAGGACGACGCTAGGAGTAACCCTGTATGTAGAGGTAACAGTGCAGAGAGGAATCTAGAGAACCGAAACAGGCCAACGCGATCGAGGATCAGGGCGCTACCCGGTTTCGCAAGAGCGAGATAGGTGTAGGTGGGGCCTCGACGACTCATGCGATTTTGTGATGATCGTTGGGCCTTAGCGGCTACCGTCTGGTTCCCTCGGGACGTCAAACGAACACCTGGACGACCGCCGGCCCGATGGTCAGACTTCTTCACGAAAGCTCTGAACGGAAAGGAATTGAAGCATCGTGTCCCTCGAGCGAGGTCCACTGGGCTGCTCTAGCTCGCGAAAGGGACGAATGGATACATTGCTGATGCCTGCTCGAACAGTTCCATGATGGACGGGACGACACGTTGTACAGAGGGTCACCGAACAGGAATTCGGGATTGCATTTTCGGTGATGACTATGTGTTGCTCATGTCACTCAGTTTTCATTTCAGTTATTGTTGGAACGCTTCTGATAGTGGCATGCTGCTTGATGCTGCATGTTTTCCCCAGGTATGCTGTGGTGTAGATTACTTCATCCATATAAACCATAACCTTGTGTGTCGGTTCGTTTGTGCGTAAGCATGTAGGGTTTGTCTGTTCGTCCGCCCGCAAAATGAAGTGAGCGATAAGGCACCCATGGAATAGACAAGCCACTTACAAATAAGGGTAGCTCGCAGGAATTGCCCTATCAGTGTTTTGCAATGGCGTTTTTGTAATGAAGCTTCAACCGCTATATAAACTGAAACTCGGCCATTTTACGAGGTGCTGCGGTGGCAGCTGGAAAGTAGTAAAGAGAGGAGGAGGAACGTAAAGCTCACCCAGAAAAGTGAGGTTGCGGCGGTTGCAGGGGAACCAGTCTGGTGTATACATAAGGGAAATGAAGACAGTTTTGAAAAATTACAGGTTCTTGCTCCGTAACAGCTGGCTCAGATTGAGGAGTGGCATCATTTTTAACATAACTAGAGCTGCGTTGGACAAGAGAAAAGGCGCTTTCACCTAGTTCGGATCTATGGGATTAGCAGGGATTGAGGGCTACCAGATCATTCTATTTCCGCGCTGGAGTCAGACCATAAATATTTCAAGATCGTCTCTCATAACAGTGTCCAAGTCTGGGCACAACCTTGGATTGGTGCTTCTAGCCCTAGCTGTTTCTTAATCCTTTTTGCGGTTCATTTCGCCCAAAATTTGCTTTGGTTCCCAGGTAAACAGTCCTGCAGACGGTCCGGGAAATATTTCTTCAATAGTTCTTCCGAAATGACCTGGTCTAAAGCTCTTGTTCTTCGTCGAGGTTATGTTTGAGCTGTGTACATTGTAGCCGGCTCTGTCAAATCGAACAGAAATTGAGGACGCCCACAAAATTTTCGGAGCCACTGATTTTTGTGATCACGCCTACATATAAAAGGCCTGCTCGATTCGCAGATATGACGCGGTATGTTCGGTCTATTTTCTTTTCAGAATTATGTTTATTCTAATTGGAAACTTCCCTACTGACGTAGCAAAGCAGTAACTGATGCTTGTCCTTAGCCACCTATAAGTTCTGCTACGTTATGTGGGCGGGAGCATGCTGGTCCACTGCGGAAAAAGACCACTTCCCATAAGGGAGAAGTGAACGTCGACCGAGTCATGTGAACCCGCTAATTTCAGACTCGCAAACACCTTACGTTTGGTTCCGCATTTGCACTGGATTGTGGTTGAAGATGGAAACGAAACAGTCCCTTATGTTGGAAAAATTCTCGAACGATCCACCCTACCTTTCACCTACTTTGCTGCACAAACTCCAGCGGATCATCCAGGTGAGCTTCGTTTTACATAATTTTGCGGTAATTTTGCATGAGTGAAAGCGATTATTACGAATTATGCCTTTTTTGAAAATGCATTTACGCTGCTTCGTTCTGATGACCTATCAACTTTTGACTGAAGAAACATTTCATCGCGGAATATGTCATGCATTACAAACTTTTGATT